AGGACCCGCCTGCTGCTGGTTGTTCTGGTGACAACGTCCCCCTACCCAGAGGGCTTCTTGTCTTTATGGGCGTCTTCGCCTAATTTGACTGCCCGCCTTTAAGCAATGAGCTGGCTGTCGCTAATGGTAATGGCAGAAGAGGGACTTGCTTTCATAGAGAACCCCAGTCCAGGCAGTCTTACAGGTCACCCTGAATCAGGGGTCCCCCAGCCCTGCTCCTGGGGAGACCCAGTCCAGTTACTCTTATAGGTCACCCTGAATCAGGGGGTCTCCAGCTCTGGTCTTGGGGAGCCCCAGTCCAGTTACTCTTATAGGTCACCCTGAATCAGGGGTCTCCAGCTCTGGTCTTGGGGAGCCCCTGTCCAGTCAGTCTTACAGGTCACCCTGAATCAGGGGTCCCCCAGCCCTGCTCCTGGGGAGCCCCAGTCCAGTCAGTCTTGCAGGTCACCCTGAATCAGGGGTCTCCAGCTCTGGTCTTGGGGAGCCCCAGTCCAGTCAGTCTTACAGGTCACCCTGAATCAGGGGTCTCCACCCCTGCTGTAGGGTGTCCGTCTCCCCTAACGAGCGCTTTCTCCCTATCCTGGTGTGTGTGTGTGTGTGTGTGTGTGTCTCTCGCAGGGCCACAACTGGATCATCGCCTACAGCCGGCCGGTGTACTTCTGCCTGTGCTGCACGCTGATCTGGCTCTTCGACCTGGGCAGCAAGGCCAGGGGCCTGCAGCCCTTCTCCCTGTACGGCATCACCCTCTTCTCCGCCGACTTCCTGGACGGCGCCAGGAACGTGGTCACCGGTGAGCCCGCGGGGGGGGGCGCAGTCATACAGTCATACCGAGCCTCCAACCGTAGAACAGTGCCGTGACAGATAGGTGACGAGCACGGTTGTGTACTTGTGTACCCCCCCCAAAGACGGTTTCTGATCGCTGTTCTCTCTCCCCGGCTCCCCCCCCGCAGTGTTCACCCTGTCCTTCCCCGTCATCTTCCTCTTCGGGCTGCTGCCCCAGGTCAACACCTTCCTCATGTGCCTGCTGGAGCAGGTGGACATGCACGTCTTCGGCGGCACAGGTAAATGGGGGGGTGTGGACCGCGGGGTGGGGGTGGGGGGTGACGAGAGCAGCTCTTGGGTCCCTGGGCTGGAGTTCATCCAGGGGGAGGGGGATCCTTCTGTGTGGAGTCTGCCTGGCATCCGGCTGAGGCTTTAGTCGTGTCCTGCGCTGTGGGCTGCCAGGACTGGCTACACTCCTTAGCGCGGGTGGACAGGCGCTCAGTAGCCAGCATTCAGACGTGTCGGTCTCTTCGATCGGACCAGGCGCTGCTCTCAGACCTAGTAAACTCGGCGAAACTCGGTTAAGGTCTTCTTAGGTGTAATGACTGTCTTTGTGTAGGTCGAGGAGCGCGGATTCTTGTCGTGCAAGGGCGGCCTGGGCTACAGCTGTTTTATTCCTCCCCAGT